CGCAGTGTTTTGTGGCTGGGCAGCTTAGCGCCGCGGGTGACCTTTCTGGCATCCAGACCCACACGATAATAACGTTCGCATTCCTAGAGCATACGGTCACCAGAGCATCCATGCCCAAACCATAATGATGTTTATTTTCCACGATGGTCCAGAGTGTGTGGTTTCCGGGCCAGGGTCTGCTTACAGCTTCGGGTCTAGAGTTGACACTCTACGAATTTCGGGGTTTCAGCTGGACCTTCGGAGAAGTTGAAGATTTGCTGCTGCTGCTGCTGAGTTGGGCAGTGCCACAAAAATCTTCTCCTTGAACGCAAAATCAATGGCCCTGTCTCTGTGTTATGTACTTTGCCATACTAAGCGCACTATGTTTTGCACATTTTTAAAAGCCCACAAGCCAAACACACTTAGAGGGTTGTCGATTTTGCAAGACCCGAAGAGACAAATGTAGAAAAATAGCGACGGCCAAATACGCACGCGCATCCAAGTAGTAGCACTTGTAACACCAGCCATGAGGCAAGCTGTGAGGACTCGAAGAGAAGGGGATTCTAAACGCTTAGGGGGTCTGGTGACTTATGAAGGATTTCTGACAGCTCTGGGGTTTCTCGAATTGAAGATGACTGAGGGTCTGGGGTTTCAATTATAAAGGATTTGTGAGGACACCATGGGGATTTTCGAATTAAGGAAACAAGACTGAAGGCAAAGGTGCCTCTGCTGGAGAAAGGACCGTGGAAGCAGCTTAAGGTTTTTAGGAGTCTTTGTTGCCTTGCAGGAGATTGAGAGAAGTTTCTGAGCAAGGCTAAGGGCCTCGCAGCAGAGCTTGCATCCTCCTCAGCTAGAGCCTGAAAAAGCATTTTTCTGAGGCCCTCAAGGCTTCCCAAATTCACCAGCAAAAGATTTGTCTTGAGGAGCCTTAGACAATTTTAAGTCTCCATTTGCGCGCCGCAAAAGCCTACAGTTTCGTGTTCCGGCCCACTGATGATTGCATTCGTTGAGAGGTTCCAAGTCTCCATTCAACAGCAAGCAAGTGCCGTCTTTGAAGGAGCTCCATGGCTCCATTTTCAGGCCTCCAAGGCCCACAGTGAAGGCCTCAGGCTTCAGGCTTACAAGCAACCGCAGGCTTCTAAGGAGGCTTCTGAGCCCCTGAGCTTGCGCTTGTGAGTTCCGAGAGGCACGTTTCTGAGTCAAGCAGCTCAGATAACGTAGAAACTCGTCACTTTTATGAAAATAAGGTTGAGAACTTTCCTGTAATTTTAGGGCCCCAAAGCCATAACACGTGAAAGAAGCTCTTCCCCACAGTGGCCTGAGATTGAATAAGTGGCTGCCAGAACACATTATTCAAGGTTTAGGGGCTAGCAAGGCCGGCTTACCCGCTGCTGGCTGGAACTATGTGAATCAGCACGGGTTCCTCTACCAGGTGTGGCGTAATGCAGCATATGCAATGGAGCCAGATTACACAAAACCGGGTCGCAGGCAGAGGCAGTGCATCGATGCCTGGCAGCGGGGCTCAAGGAATGCCCTCAGACGCCCGTTCGCAGGCCAAAAGAAGAATTTCCAGAGCACAACGTTGTTTGGAGCATCTGAGGTTCACGAAGGCGGAGTCAATGAGGATCATGCAGTTGCTGGATGAGATCGAAAAGGGAGTTACAGATACATGCAGATGAAGAAGAATCAAACCATGTTTCTCTTAAGCAGAGCTCGCTGAGTTCTGCGTAGTTCATTCATGATTTTCGGTTAGCTCCCACGGCTTGGCCGCGGGCCAGCAGCTTGTGACGTTTAGTCCAGAGGCCCATACTTTTTAAGCACTGAGATTCAGCTCCTGTGCTGACAAAGACTGGAGATGCGCTGTTTTGCGAGAGAAAACATAATGATGTGAGAGCATTCACTGTCCTAAACACCCGCACATCTTCCAAACCATCAATTGGTCCTGAGAATGTAGGCTCTTGTCAGGCTCAGCAAGCAAGCGCAGGAGCCGCTGGTCGGTGTGCGCAGGCTGGAGCAAAGTCAGTGGCAAAAAAAGAGCAACTAGCAAAGAGTGCCGGGCAATGAGAAATGAAATGTGTGAAGGCCATCACGACTTGGATTCCGGCCAGGGCCCTGGCACTGCTGAGTGCCAGCATTTGCAATCAGTATGCCTCTGCCTAGGAACCTTCTTTTCGCGGTATCTGCCCGACCGCCGCTGGGTCCTGGTTTGTAAACATTCTTCCTCCACACACCTTCAGGACTTGGCGCGATTTTGCAGTAGCCATGCACTGAAAACATTGTTCCTGATGAACGTTTGCTGTTCAAAGGTCCGCGCGCTTGTGAGCGCGCCCGGGTTCGGAACCTGGTGTTCGGACACCGCGCTGATTGGCTGGGAGTGAGCGGCCTGCTGCATTGCAACGGCGAAAGGCTGCCAGCTGTCAACAATCAAGGATCGGTTTCAGAATGCACAGGGAGCATGGCTCGTGTTGGCCCTCTGCGCGTTTCAGGATTGCATGTTCCTCACCAGTTTAACAGGCTTTGGATCAGACCCAGCTGACAAGACTTACTTGTAAGTCCTACCTGAAGCAGAGCAATAGGTTGAGATGTGCTTGTGTTTTTCGAGGCGGGGTATCCCCAAATCTGTAGCTGACCAATGCCCTGCCTGCATCTTCCAAGACCGCATTGCTATCCGTGGCATGTCAATGGATTCTGCCAACTTTGGCAAGCTGGGCTGCTATGTGCCTTCTGAGCCTGCCATGCATAAGTCATCACAGGACCGGCAAAGCATGGTGTATCTCAAAAGCCGGCAGTTGAATCCCTCGACATGCCAACTGCCGGTCTGGCGGCCAGCGGCGCGGCTGACCTTCCAGACTCGAGCCTCGGAATTCAAGTCAGGGTGCCTGGAAGCCATTGATTGTCAACTGATCTCCGGGAAATCATTCTTTGCACCCTGCTGTCTACAGTCGAGCTAGTCGAGCTTCAGTGAGCGGTCAGAACGGTTTTTGAGTAAGAATCCGTGGCAGAACACTATGCTTTCCAGTCTTGTGTCGCACAGATGTGCCTCATTTGGTTTGAATTTTTTGAAGCGTGGGTTCTCCAAATCCACTAGCTTCGCAGCAGCAGACCGAGAAGGTCAACGTAGGCTCAGAGCGCAGCATTGCATCTCTCACTCACTGTGGAACTTCGTCGCGGAATCTTGATGTTATTGTGCCTTTTCGTCTTGGAACTGTGGCTGCGTGCTGCTTGATGCCGGAGCAGAGACCCTGACAAAAAGAGGTGAGGCAGCAGGTAGGCTCATTTGCCCGGTTCAGCTGACCAGGGCCCTTCACAAAGTTGCAAGGCGCAGGCCTTGCCACGCCGGGCAGTGAGGATGAGAACAAATCAAGCTGCGGCATGGCAATAGCAAGTGAATCTTGCAGTGGACACTGCCCGGGAGACACCGCCCCGCAACTTGGGGAGTGCGCCGAGCGCAGCGACCAATTCGTCCCCAGGGGTGACTTTCGCTCTCTCAACAGCGATGTACAGCTCTGGTGGCAATGCCACCTCTCTGATTGCTTACCCTCAACCCACCTTGATATCCCTAGCCCTGCAGCCAAACTCTGCTCCCTTTTGCTCAGCTACGCGTGGAGCTGCCGGAAGTTCCACCAGGAAGTGTCGGGAAGGCGAAGTGAGTGCCTCCATCCGATTTCCCTCCTTAAAGTTTGATCTGAGGGCATCGTAGAAGAGGGGATAATATTATCATGCAATTGGTTGCATAGGAACATTTTGAGCTAACTGTCCATGTACGTAGCATTGTATACGTCGGCTCGTCTTTTGCAACCCTGACTTGCAAAGCCCCTTCCGGCGAGAAAAATTGACACACTAGTGTCATGCAACATGCAGAGCAGATCAGGAATTGAGAGCGATCAAGTCGCATAGTGTGAAATTCTTGCCGGAGGACAAAGCACGGGTGACTGCACGAGGCACTGAGAAGGAGGCTGAAGCACGGAAGAATGGCTGGCTTCAAATACCTTGGAAGATAAAACTTTTGTCGTCTGCAGGTGGCCAAGTGCAAGCAGACCGTGGCAAGGGCCTAAGCCGAAGCCATCCTGTTAGCAAGCTGTTATTTCTTCTCCTGAAACTACGGCCGTCATCCAGACTCTGTTGAGCGTTGACGGCTGAATGCATTGTTCTGCCCAGAAAGCCGTAGTGGATGGCGCCTTGTCCCTGGCAACGTGCGGAGCCCAAAGGAGCACTGCATTGCGAATGGTTTCCGAAAAAGGTTTCCCGAGGGCGGGTTGCAGCATCAGAGTGCTTGTCCTGCGCTGCAAACTGCAGGCTTGTCGAGCCAAAGTGATATGAGCCATCTCCACTTAGCTTGTTTTCGTTAGCTGCAATGAGGTTGGGATCGCTGGCCGGAGTCAAAGGGCTCAAAGCTGCGGACGATAGCGAGGATTGGTCTCCAGGGCTGCGCAAAGCACAGGTGCAGATCGTCAATCAGCGGGCACCTCATGCTTCGTCAGTGTCAGTTTACACAGCGTGAACCACGCACGTTCAACCTGGTGCTGAGCTTGCTGGTGCCAAGCACATGTTGGAGTGGGGTGGTGTTTGAACGAGCAACCTGCTGGGGAGGCAGAGACCTATCCAAGAAGAGCAGTTAAGTAGCTGCTTCAGTTGGACCCTGGTCGGATTCCACAAGGTTTATTGATGCCCTCTCAGGGTTCTCACTACCAGAAACTTGTCATGATTTCCAAAAGGTTTCTTCAAACTCTTCATCAGGGTGGTTTCCCTCCAAGTTTCGCCCAAGGGGTTTGGACCCATCTCCATGCAATGCCACTCTTCATTGCCAAACGGCCCACCTTACGCAGGCTTGGCTGAGCTGCACAGGGTTTCCTCTGCTTGCCTGCAGGATGCGGCGCCTCCGCCTCCTCCAGGTCACCCGTGACATCCAAGGCAATTCAGTCAGAGATTCAAGTGCGTGCGCAGGGGCTGCTTCCGCGCCCCCTTTAGGGCTCCCGGGACTGCCTCCGGGTGGCGTCGAGGGCCTCAGCCCAGAGTAAAGCCTAGCGGAGACCTGCAGAAGCATGTGCTTCTCATGCTCCACATGTTGAATGAACTTGCTGAGCAACTTAAGCTGCGCGGGCCTGGCCCAGGCACCTCCCGCTGCTGTCCTCGCAGCCATCGCCGCTGGCAGACCTCCTCTGGGAGAACGGCCCTTACTCCTGTGAAGTGCAGGGTTGTGCTTTAGCCTGGTGGCTCTTCGCTTCAAATTTAATATACTTGAATTTCTTGGGCCATGCCCGATAGAAATCATGAGATGGGCTGTCTCGGCTGCCGGCTGGACAACAATACTGGTGGTTGTGTGGTTTGTTCGGGGCAAGACGGACGGGTTTCCAAGACATTGTGTGTCGTTCCTGTGCTTGCCCGGCAGAAGGATGGAGTCTTGGTTCTGGGACACTTTCTTGAAGAGTTGGAAAGAAGCCCAGACAGCCCAGCATGTTCCGACTCAGTATCCTTCAGTGGAAGAGCTTGTCAACAGAGGCGGGCCAGCTGCCTGTGCCCCTGCCACCAGGGCTTGCGGCTGCGGCGGGGGGTTCAGGGGTTCTCTTGGGGCTTTTCCACTTCAAAAGCTAATTAACCCATTTTTAGCTTGTTTTTAGGATCTATAGAGGCTGGCCTGAGCATCTTCTAGATGGTTTGTCGTCTGATGCAGGCCGCTGCGGCAGTGCCGGGTATGCGCGGGGCCCCAGCTGGACATCCTGTGTTCCTCCCAGAGCCGATCCTGTTGAGATGTGTTTTCTCAAAGCATGCTTTGGGCTCAGTCCAAGGCCAGAAAATCACCAGATGCAGGCAAACCTCAATGACTACTACGCGAGGTGGATGTGTTTCTGGGAGCCTGCTGTCTTGCCTGTTCCCTGAAGCAGTGGACCTGCTAGTTCTAGCCTTCTCTGCTCTTGAGCCATCGCTGGATCGCATTTGCGCCAATCATGAGGTGGTGGACATCTTACGCCTTGCAACAGGACGAGGATGGCAAGGTCCAACATGCTGTTGCAATTCCGTTCTTGTCTTGTGCTCTTCGCGGGCAATGATGATGTGAAGGAAGACAAGCCAAAAGAGCAGCCCCTGGCCTTTGACAAGGAGGCATATCCCAATGCTCTTTAGCTTTGGAAGCTTCATCACGGTATGTCGCAAGACATAGCTTTTATGACACGCCATCAACTAAGTTTCCAGTCGCCTTGGTTGAAGGTTGCCAGCTGTCAGAGATTGCTTAAGGCTGCCAGCATCATCGCTTAGCCCAGCACGCAGGCAGTTTGAATTCTCACAATCTGCCAAGTGACCAAGTGCCGTGCCGCATCGTCATCAGCTACGGAGCTGCTGATGTACCTAACCGCCAGAACCGGCCACCCTCCTCAGCCCCAAACATGCGCACGCTTACCTCTCTGGAATTCTGCAGCGATGGCCCTGGCCTGTGCGGCTCCGGCCTGCGACGCAGATGCCTGGCGTGAGAAGCATGCAAGCGCCCAGCAGGCGGCCGAGGAGGGTGCGCGGCAGGGTCTCGGGTTGTGATTCCAGAAGATCTGCTTCTGCTCTGCTGGGGAAACTTTTTCTTCATGCTGGCGGACGTGTGAGTACAGAAATTGGTGCAAGTTCATGAAGGCTGAACTTCAGACTCATTCTTTCCAGGACTCGCGCCTCTTTGAGGCCGTGCAGCTAGTGAATGCCGCACTAGAGACCTGGGCTTTATCCAGTTTTCTTTGCAATGTTACTGCGAATGTGTATGATGCGCAAGCTCAGCATTGCCACGCCCCTTATGATTTGCATGTTGCTGCGCTGTGAAGCGACCAGCCGGAACTTGCATCCGCCAGACCCATGCTTGAATCTTGCACCAGGCAATCTGGTAAATCATGACAAAAACTTCTCCAACTGTAGGTCGGTCTCATCTCAGAGAAAGCACTGAGGAATCCTTTGAGCACAGCCTGGGGGGAATGGCTGCTGAGGCTGAATTTTGCACTTCAGAAGTGTCGCCGAAACCTGGAGCCCATGACCTGCAGGTTGCAGGACTGCTGCTCACTGACCCTAGCCGCTTTGCTGCGGAAGCTGCAGATTCGATGGCCTCTGGCAGCAGAGGCCAGTGTTAAGGCACTTGAGGCATTTAAGAAATTCAAGAGTTTATAGTCTAGTTGTTTTGCAGTTTAGCTTGATAGCTGATCGCAAGGTGACCTTGCGAGTTTATGGGCCACGCGTGCTGACATCCTCATGGGCCTTGGTGGCCTCAAACGGGCCAACACCGAGCTGCAGGCGGCGGCTCAGCTGGCGCCCGAGGAGCCGCGGAGCTGCTTAGATCTGCTTCCGTGTTTTTCTGATGCCAGAAATGCGAGTTAGCAAGGATCAGCGAGTTAACGACCTCCTGGCAGAATGCAAGAAGCTCCAGCAGTACCAGGAGAGCATACTTTTGGTTTGCTCGTTCTTCAGTGGTACGCGGAGACGTCCGACCTGTCATAGTGGAAGTATCTGTTGCAGGAGGAAGGGTTCATCGAAGATGCGGTGGCTGCAGCGCAGAGCAAGGTGCGATCTGAAATCACGTCTTGCCCCGGAGCAGTCTGCAGCTTACGGTGGAGCCAGCTGCAGGTGCCTGTGCACATCCTGACGGGTGCCTCGCACATCAGTTAGCGATGCGTCTCGTTGCCGCAATCTGTTTGAGGGCCTTTGCAGCCCTGGGAAGGTTTCTTGGGCTCTGGCAAGACGACCTTGCTGAATCACATTCTCCGAGCAACTCAGCTGTTGCCAAGATCAAAGCATCCAGTGCTCCTCCTCACGTACATGCGACAGCGCTCATGGACACTTAACGTTTTGATATCATTAGCCCAGCTGCAAGCAAGTTGTTTTCAAACGAGCCTGAGATCTGGATGCAGAGTTGGGGGCACAAGTCCAAGGAATCACATGCCAAGCGCTATGCAGTGATTGAGAACCTCTGATTGCACTAGATCGTCTTTGACAGCTTTGTACACTGCCTTCACCCGGCCCCAGGAATGAGTTTGGTGAGATCGGCATCTTGGGCGCAGTCGAGGCGATAATTTTCATCTCATTTGGAGCATCTTCGAGATGATGTCAGATCTGCGGATGTTGCTAAGGCATCGATGACAAGCTCATTGCCCGCAGGGAAGATCTGGGTGCTGAGCAGATCATTGAGATGAACAATGGCTGCATTTGCTGTACAGCCGCTGGGATGAGGTTCTCGCTTGGCCCTACTGTCCTACTACCCACATCTTGCTGAGCCAAGGTGCGAGGTGATCTTATCCAAGGCCTCAGGACTCTGCGGCATGTGCGCTGGCATCTTTGTTCCTTTGCTACGGGACCACTTTCTAGCTACCAGACCGTCAGCTAGCTCTGCAGGAGCATTTTGAAGAAAACTTCCCTGGAAGGCACCAAGCTGGACGGCATAATTATTGCTTCTTTGATCCATTTGGACCGTTGGAGAATTTTCTGATTGCGAATGGCTCTCATGCATTGCTAAGGAGACGACTGGGTTGGCTGATCCGGCCCCTGTGGCTCAGACCTTCTTTGCAGACGATGTGATCCAATCGAAGATGATGCTGGCGCGAATGCGTGATAATGTTTGTCTTCACTGACTCAGATTTGGCTCAGGACGGCATCATCACATTGATCGATGCGAAGCACGCTTTGCAACACCTGCGAGAGGCCGTTCGTCAAAGCAGAGCAAGCTTAGTTTCGTGTTCTTCGGTATGCTTTCCAGGGGTAAAGAGAGCTCCACGTCTTGCAATGCAATGCCACCTCATATGCTTGAAGGAGAAGCCCGAGGGTGTGGAGAACGAGGCCGTGGAGCAGGTCCTGAAAACTCTCAAAGCCACGTCTTCTTGCTCTATGTTGCTCTTGGCTGGCTCGTGATTTACTCATCTCCTGGCCTGCAGGTTGCCTTTGCAGACCGGATCGTCGTTAACAAGACGGACCTTGTGAGAAACGACGAGTTGAAATTGCTGACCGAGGAGATCCGCGGCATCAACCGCTTGGCCCCTATCATCTACACACAGCCTCTTGGCTTCAGGGTTTTTGGTGTCCTGTGATGTGCTCTTCCATGTCCTAATCAGGAACTCCAAAGTGGTTCTGGGCGAGATTATTGGCATCAGAGGCTTCTCTCTGGACCGTGTCCTTGAGGCAGCCAGTCCCAGGAACCCATCCGAAAGCTAGTTTGTTTCTACAACGCCTCTGGCTTGGCTTCCTTTCTGCTTTTCCAAAGCTGGTGCCAAGTGTTTGAGACTTTGCCAGGCAGATTCGGAGTTCCTGAAGGATGAGCAAGACCACGAGCATGATCAAACAGTGACCTCAGCTTCTCTTCCATCAATTTCTTGAAAGCCATTTAATCAAAAACAGATCATGGCGCCGGGGTCAGGTGTTCAAGTCTAAAGCGGGAGATGTGTCAGGTTGGCATTGAGTGCGCCGGCGAGTGCGGCCAAGCCAGCAACACGGCTTGCTGATGAATCCGCTCTAGGTTGAGTTTTCTTCAGCCACCGTTGCTTTTGCAAATGGCTACGAGACATATAGTCGTTGCGCAGTTGCACCTCATGGGAATTTGAGATGGTCAGGGCTCAATGCGTGGATCGCAAAGCTGTTGACGGAGCGTGGGACGGACATCTTTCGCACGAAGGGAGTCCTTGCAGCCCCTCGGACTGAACAATTGCTTGCAGGGCCAAAGCTTCCCTTCTTGATTCAGGTCAAGGGCAGTGACCACAAGTTCGTCTTCCAAGGCATCCACATGCCTCTTGGGGGCATTTGGCTGTTGGCGAAGCGAAGCCCTAATTGAGCTGGCTGGAACTGCAGACCCTTACTAAGACCACCTGAACACTTGCGAAATACACCTGTCGATGCTGGCTGACCCACCCTGCCCAAAAAACATGTATATGGCTTATATATATATATATGTGGCAGATATACATATATATATATACATATGCATACACCAAGTTTTCAAGCGATGGACGTGCCCGGACCCGTGGTCACTTTGTACAGTGCGCTCCCAATCCGTCAAATAGAAGTTAGAAGTAATGGAACCACAGCCTCATCTAAGGATTTTCGGCGGCCAGCTCCAGGACCCCTGGCCTCCCGGGGAGCGTTTGAATCGGAGACTTGCATGGCAGTAAAAAACATTTGGATCTTCCTGTCTTGGCATTTGGCTTTGGATGCAGGGTTGAGACCTTTCCGCCTGCTCTTCCCAAGTAGTTTAGGTATGGTCATGCTAGACGGATGTTTCCGTGTTACTGCAATGTTCAGTAGTGTATGAGTAAGCCACTAAATCCTGGGATACGGCTTAAGTACGGAGGCCGCAATGTCAGTAGAGCCCAGAAGCTACATGGCAAGCCGGTTTCAGGCGCTGGAACTTTAGCTCTGGTGAGTTCTTTGCCACATGTAGCACGACATCATCACATCAAGTGCTTCCAACTCAGTTTCCTGAGGCTGGTCTTTATCGGCCGCAATCTGGACAGAGCTGAGCTCGAGAGCGGATTCAAATCCACTCTAGCTTAGTGCTTTTGGCTCTTTGGTGGGATCCCTGGCCTGCTGTCCGTATCATGCAGATGACTCAGATTCAGATGGCATCTTCAGCACCTGAACAAGTGATGAGGTTGAAAGCACAAAGCTCTGCCGCTCTCCCCACCTGTGGAGCTCTGCGCGACCGCGAGACACGGTGCAGAAAAGGATGATTGGCACTGGTGCTGTCTCAGCTTTCTTGCTGTCTGGCTGGGTGCTACAAATTTTAGTTGAAATGATGGTGTTTGCGCTGCTATGTCATGCTGCTGCTGCTGGTCATGGTGGATAATGGTGGTGCTTTTGGTTTTGCTTCTGCTGGTTGCGCCGGCTTTTGCATTTGTTGTTTTCCCTAGCTTGAACTGCATCGCGGTCCTGTTCTGTCAGGCGCTGCAGCGTCTTGCCGACCGTGCGCAGGCAGGTGACATTGAGGAGCCGTGGGAAACTCGGGCATGTGGAAGTTGGAGATATTTCAGGATCAGTCTCCTCATCATGCTGGTAAGGAAGTGTGGCAGGTGCAAAGAGATCCTCATCTTGTGATGTGGTACTCACGTTGCAATTTGCCGTCCTGACATTTCCTGGTAAGTTGACAGTGGAGGGTGATGTCTGTTGATCAATGCCTGCTTCACTTTCAAGATTCTAGCTTCATGTTCATGAGTTCAGGGCGGTGCCGCGTGTGGACAGATGCAAAATTGAACATTGCATCCCTCTGCCTTGCCCTTGTATAGCTGCCGCTGGCAGTAGCTTAATTCGCTTTTTGCTCTAAGGTCAGCTAATGATGGGCACTCTGCCATGGCACCAGACGGTGCGCTGGGACCTTGATGCTGAAGGGCACATCCTACTTCTGCACGTGCGCTTCCACTTGCATGCTTGACTGCTTGACGCTCGGGTGCGGGAGTGAGCCCATGTGCATGTGCTTACCAAGCGTCATGCTTGGTCTAGGCATTTTGATTGCTGTTGCTTTGGGACGCATGGTAGACGTGGACTGCTGCCTTTCTATTTGTAGGAAGAATCCTTGAGGAACTTGTGGGACTTCCGGCGCTCAGGCCTGACCTGCAGCCGGGCGAGATCCCGCTCTCAACGCAGCTTGCTTTCGGCCCTGCCCGGATGCCTGGAGAAAACCTGTTGGGACACATCTGCGCCTTGAACTGCCTGTAATCTCCACAGCTGTAAGACTCAGCCGGGGTGCGCGAACGTTGTCGAACCTTGTTCTTTATCCTGCTGCTGTCAGGGCACACTGGAAGAGCGGGCGATCGCGGAGGTGCAGTGGACAGCATGCTGTTATATTTGTGTGATTTCGCACGGGTGTTCTGGAGTACGTGCCACGCTGCGCAGATTGTTGATGCCAAAGCACAGGAAGTCTGCGTATGAAGCTTAAGAAGTTTCAGGTCCGTTGCATCCTTGGCCTGGCGGGCACATCGCTAGCAGGGTCTGGAACTGAGAAGGTGAGAGACTTTCTCAAATAAGGGTGTGGTCTTGCATGGAGTTGCCCACTTGCTTCAGCAGGCACTAGGTCTTGCTGCTGCAAGACATGCTGTAGGTTGTAGAGCTTGGTGGACTTTCATGCAGAGTGAGCATGGCACTTTCAGGCCCATGAGCGACAGAGGAACAATACCAGCTCGGAACTCGGTATTCGTCGGTACGCGCTGACACATGCAGAACCTCTTGTTGGCTTTTGAGTTAGACATAGGACGTGGTGTGTCTGTGTGCACGCCTTGCAACAACCAGGGGCCACCTCCCGCACCAAGTGCCTGGTGCTTGGCAATCCCGGTGTGAAGGTATACAGTACACACCTCCTGCTTTGCCTTGATCCGTAACTGCGTCACTGGCCGAAGGTCACCCCAGGCAGTGCGCAGCCCATGACGTTTGGCACCTCCCAGAGGAGAATGCTGTGAACTCAGTGGGTGCTCTCCTGATTCTAGGCAGGGTCAGGCTGTTTGGCAAACAAAGCTGCCGACGACCGATCACCTTGGCAAACGTGTCTCAACTTGAAGTGCAATGCCACAATGGCCAAGGCCCGAGCTCACATTGAAGGGATTTTTGCGTCCAGGGGCCTTCGATGTCCAGGGCCCAGGGTTGAGCTCGCCGTTCCTGTTCAGCATCTTTGGATTAATTGTCTTGTCGCTTGTTGAACATGGCAAGGACGAGATGCCGCAAACAAAGAAAGATGCCGACTCCGTGCAGAAAATGCTCGAGCGGCTGCAGGCAAAGAGGAGTTCGAATTGCGGGACAAGACAACTTGCACTGAATCCCTGCTGCAGGGCAACGTGAGCGAAACAAAGCAGTCCGTGCAGCTGCAGGCATGTCTTGATCAGTGACTTGCTGAGACATGGTCCGCATCCTTGAGCATCGCAACAGCCAAGAGGCCCAGATGCCGCGCTCTGGCGGACCGCCGAAGGCGGGACAGCATCACGCATAAGTTTGGATTGCAAGAATTGCTACCCGGGAATATTGCAAAGCTGTCAGACAGCACCATGGGCGGACAAACGGAGTGCCAGAGCAACCTTGGCAACGGGATGGAAGTCCTTGCTTGCAGGCTGTGTTCCCCGGAGCAGTGCCAGAGGCTGCTGGACATTCCATAGTCCTTCAGGGGACTTTTGATCACAGTGCTGTGTTGCCCGGTTTATTTTTGATGGGTGGAGGTTGGGGGAGATGACATGCGAACGCAAGCGGACTTCCAGTTCGAGGCTGGGCCTTCTCATTGCGGTCGCCCCCGGCATCGAGCCATCGAGCTCCACTCCACAGCCTGCTCCCAGGCGCTCCTCTCGCGCGCTCAGGGCGCTGCGGACTCGGAGTCCCTGGATCAGGTGGCCAGGGAGATCCTCATCAGGCTGGGCCCGCGGTTGATGCATCATGCGAAGTGTGCTAAATGATTTGAATATTTGAGTTGGACTTGTTACTTTGTCTCGGCAGTCCTGTCTGGATCAGAGGTTTCCGTCCTTCACAGCCCAGCAGTGTACCGATCTCTGCCAGAAGATGGACACTGCTCCAGCGTTCCCAGCTCAGGTCCTCAAGTTTTCTCAACTTCCGGCACAGACATCTCTGAAGGCTCCGGGACCACCAGGGCGGCGACTTCCTGGCCGAGATGTGCCGCTTGCTCGGGTCGCGGCTACGCGAGCTTGCGAGCATGCAGGCTCCACGGGACTGGTGCAGCGTAATGCGCTTGAAGGGTAGGAAGGATCTTTCATCTTCTCTGAATTTGCATGTTTCCAGTTCACCACGGCCTGCAGCACTGTTGCTGCGTGGCTGCCTCCTTACAGATCTCTGCCGTGTCATCCAGGGTGGTTTTAACAGTACCTGCGCCTGAGCCTTTGAGGTCAGCCGATCCCAAAAGAAGACGGGCGCCACTCTTTGCCCAGCTATCAAAGGCCCTGATGCCTGTCCTAAAGTTCTAAAGGAGCACTTGTAGGATCCCAGCAGCCAAGACACCATCACAGATTCGTTGGCTGGAATGCCTACAGGTCTTTTTCACGGCAGCTGCAAATGAAATGTCTTCGCGTCTCATGACGTTTGCGCCACGACCTTGGGCAAACAAGTGCACCTGTGCCGCTTTGCCCACGAAGTTGCGACGTGCTTATCGCTCCCAGTCCGCAGCAGTCATGACCAGATGATTTTATTGACGGAAGACATGCAGCCACCAAGGCCCCACGAGCTCAATAGTTGCCTTGCGGCCTTCGTGCGAATCTGGCTAAGTTTGGATTGCAATCTGAATGTGCCGGCACGGGAAAATCAACAGATTTGTGTCAGCTCAGCGCTATGTTGACTGAGCGGGTTAGATTGTTGCTATCCCAAAAGCCTAAGCCTTAAACTGAAGTTGGGTGAAGTTGCAGGCCGACACAGACTTCACTAATCAGCAAACGGCCAGGTCTGTAGGCTTCTCGGAGCACAAATTCTTCGCGTCTGTGGGCCGTGTTCTGAGCAAGAGCATGCTGCTTGTATACCGGACGGTTAGTTTCCGATTGACCGGAAGCAAGGCCGCGCAGCATTGGCACGACACAGCAGCTTTGCACCCGCACGGGCCTGACTTCTGGTGTAATATGTTGCAGTGTGTCTGCGGAAGCCCTGTCCCATCGGAAGGTACGTGCATGTGTGCTGAAGTCAGGTTCAACTTACCGCCTTGTTGGCAATCCTGTCTGAGATGAGATTGGCCCAGGGCTTAGCTTCTACAGTCACGCACTTCCAAAAGTTCGCAGCTTCTGCGGCCAGTGAGACATAGACCAAATACCTTTATACGCTCAGGTGCACACGGATCTGTTCAACGCAGCCGCCACCTTCCTCTCTTCGCGGACAAAGGCACTCTTTCGCATATTCATGCGGGATGAAGTCGGCGAGCACGTGTGATCGCGAAGGAGTTGCGGCCAGTGGACATTATCCGAGTGCTGCGGTCGTTTGCCAAATGCAACGTGTGGTGCCAAGAACTGGTGCTCAATGCTTGTCACGTGCTTCTGATTGATGATAACCTCACTGCAGAAATGCCTGCTTCACAGCTTTGGCTGATGCTTTGCCAGGTCCAGCACCAGGGCCTTTGCAGAGCGGTGGGAGATGAGGTCGCGGTGTAAACAACACGCTGTCTTTGTTTCGGTCCGGCCTGCTGATACGGCTATGCAAAGGCTGTCATCTCCTTGGCTTGTCTTTCTACCAGCAAGCGACAACTGAAGCAGGTGGTCAGTCGCGTCAAGGGAGGTGTCAGCTTCCGCGCGGAGGCCGCGTGGATTGCCACGTGCTCTCCCGTTGCCGCGAAGAATGAGATGGAGTGTAAGACAGAGTGGCATGCATGCACAAACAACAATGGCCAGAGTAGATGCTTACTTGAAAAGATCCCCCGAAAGCCTTCATGCAGGATCTGTGCGAGATTACCTGGGCATTGTGTGTCTTGGAGCATTTCAATCCAGACGCTTGAACGCAACATCAGAGGAATCAGTTGGGATCCGATCCATGAAGTACGAAAGCTAGCTTGCTGGCTTGAGTTCTGGAAAGCCTCCAAATATTTTCTACACCATAGGATAGGAGCATGGGCAATATAGGTCCTTCAAAAGGAATCTGAGATTGTTGGGAGGGGGGGGGTCAGTATTGATTCTTTTAATAATAACTGTCGGAGGAGATTTAACTCCGCAAGTGAACATTTGTCGACCATGGCACAAAAACATTATCCCTTCCGAACCGAAGTCTGTCCATAGTGGTCCATTGCAGGGTCATTGTGCTAAACGCGCTTGGTTGTTGCATGAAACCTCTTTATTCTTTCGATAGTGTTCCGTACCCTTTTGCGGACATGATACGGAGATCATGCTTGCTTTTTACGCCAAAACTCCTGATTCTTTCTCTACCCTGGTTTGCCCATGCTCAGGGAGCTACTGACGTCGGTTCTGGTGGTCGCATGTATCTTCCTACTTTCTTGTCGTGTTCACTATCGCATGGTTGTGGTACGAGTGACATTAGGCCTGGTTGCATCAAATCCTCCTACTCCCTCATCCCTGATCCCTCTGTAGTGTTCCAGGCCCTGGCAATCATGATACAAATAGCACAATGCTGATGGTTTCATGAAACTGCTCCCATGTCACGAAAGCTAGCGGAGCTAGGCTTGAGTTTAGTCTTGCTTTAGTAGTAGTAGTAGTAGTAGTAGTAGCAGCAGCAGTAGCTGTCAAGGTCTGGAAAACGACGGATCGTGTGATATATCACAGGATGGGGGGGGCGACTGTGATTCTTTCACAGCAAAGTGTAGGTTTGAAGGGCGGGGGAGGGGGGAGTCGAACCTGATTCTTTCGCAGGAATCTTAGGTTTGGAGGGGGGTGTCCAATGTGATCCTTTCTGCGAGAGGCTTCGTGGAAAAATGTCATGTTCGGTGGGTAATTGCACTATAACATCATGCCTGGTTGTTGCATGAAATCTTGTTTCCTGAATGTTCACATGCTCATGGTACAAATTAACAACTCTATAACAATCCTTTTCACTTTTTTATTTGACATGATCTTTTGATTTAATTTCTCATGCTGCAACTAAAGCACTACAGTTTCCAATTCCTGTCAATGTCAGTCTTCCTGTTGATGTTGGAGAACCGTAAACATCAGAACCAAATGATGTCATGCCTAGCTTAGTAGCATTATTGACTGACATTCATATTTGTCCGTTGCTGTCTGGATTATCCATTTCGACCCTTTGACTTACTGATACGTCTGAATGCTTAATGTCTACATTTCCAAATAGATTGGTGTGTCCGTCTGTTACTTCAATCTCCGGTGTTGATGGTTGTAACCCCGTGGTTAACGCATCGCTGTTTCTGACAAGTAACTTTTACTGTGTGTCCAACACTTCTTTAAATTCAGTGCTGTTCTGAAACATAAAGCGTCCCAACTAGTGACATCGCCCTTTCCACCGATATTAGTATTACCAAGACTACTAAATTTGTGATTATTTATAATTGCTCTATTAATTGTAATTCTGAGAGTGTTGCTTAGTTGTAGTGCTGTTGTTCCTGTTGTGAGGTCGGATGTTCCATCCGTCTGTGTATTTCCTCTGTTGGTATTGCATGTTAATTGTTACTTGCAATCGCTCTTTGGTATAATCTTGCATTCGTGTCTTATGGTTGTTCTCTCACTAATGTTAGATTCTAGTTATTTCGCACGTTACGTAGTTTTCCAGACCTTCAAGGCTACCACTGCTAGAGCAAGAATAAACTCAAGCTTGGCTCGCTTGATTTGTGCTGCTATGGCTGCTGTTGTAGGGTCTGCTTCTTGAGTAGATTGAAGACTGAAATTGATTCCATGAGAAGTAATGATGTTCAATGATTTACTAGCACATGCCCTCTGATATATCTGCATCTAAATCACGTGCTCCTGTCGGCGTCCAAAAATAAGTTCCTTGCTTAAATATAGGTGCCTGCGTTGTCCCACCTACCTACTGTTCAAAAATGTGACATATTGGGGTCTGCCCCTGTTCCTACCTTCCAACCCTGTCCTTTCTGCCTTTACTTCACCTGTTGATTCGTCTTGTGTTTCCATACATGTTTGTGCTCCTCCGCTTGTTAAGCACTTTCCTTCTCTATTCCTGAACGCCCAGGACGTCGTTTCTGGTGGTCAAACTTTGTTTGTTGCGGTTCACAGTTCACGACTGTTGTATGGTCACGGTACGGGTGTGGTAGTCGCGTCAAACCTCGCTACTTGTTCTATCGTTGCCATATGTACCCAGCAAGCACAGAATAAAGATAGCATGATGCTGGTGTAAAGGTTTAGCTCCCTTTGTGTGCACAACCCTTGCAAAGTCAGGATACACATAAACCGTGCTGGTCGTTTTGTCAAACCTCCCTGGCCCCTCTGTATTGATCACCACTCGGCAAGCATCATCTTTTTTGGTTGTTGCATTCCACCTTTTCCTGCTTCTGTTGTGTTCCATACCTTTGCCTGGTCTTGAAACAAGCAATTTCTTGTTTTGTTGAGACCTTGCCACTCCTGTAGTGCTCGCTAAACCTGCCCATGCATGAGCATGGTTTGAATGGCATTAAGCCCGACGGTTGTACTGACGCTCCCTACTCCGTCTTTGATGGTGCATGCTCTTGAACGGTCATGGTACCGAGCACGTCATGCCTTGTCGTTGCATGTCGCCTTCTCCTCTTGCTGTTTGTTTCCTGCGTGATCTTTGTACGAGTACCATTTTGTTTTGTGGTTGCATCCAACCAAAAGC